ATAGCACATAGCCACCCCCTGACCTCATCTGAGGTTGCTATCTTTCTGCTTTGTATGCAAAGAAACAAGGCGTCAGAATCCAGTTTTTTCTGTTACGTTCTTTTGATCGTGAACTACAGGTCCTGTCCTGTAGCTGGGTCTGTAAGTAAGTCACCACTTAGGAGTGGTTATGATATTCCAACAAGCTGATGCAGTATTGAATGTAACCTATAGCTTAGCTCATAAAGGAAGACTAGTACTAGCAGGCCCTACCAATGTCTGAAGAGGTATATCCAGGCTACATGATAAGCATGATAAAGAAAGTGGACAAACCAGGCAAGCCCTCTGGTTGCTATCCAAAATAATGATCATCTGATGTAGGACTGGAATCACCTGATGAGCTGCCCATGGGATCAGATGATGACTGGGGATGAAGAGAGAGTGGGGGAGGTCATATGACAGAAGTTATAAAAAAAAGTCTCTTAGGGCTATTTTCAAACACCAAAAGGGACTGCTTATAGGATGCAATTGTTCTGAGATGACACAGATGTTAAGGAGAAGCTTGGCCCTGTTTTGCTGCATCATGTGATGGGTTCACAGTCAGAACTGTGGTTGGGGTGGAAAAGCTCCGTTCATCTAACCTTTCCTTATATTTAGTTTGGGGAGAAGGAAATATTAATTGGGATTATGGGAAATTCTGTTGTATAGTCAAACATCTATAGAGAAACATAGAATGAAACTTTCTCAGGCCTGTGGCATTTTAGCAATTAGGGAAAATAACTCCTAACCAATCCCCAAATCCCACACAATGTACAGGTTAGATGTATCACCCCAGCCGAAGCTAAGAGAGTGCTGGTGGGGAGACAAAGATAAGGAGTGGTCTGTCAGTGGTTTCTGTGGCTACTTCTCAATGTTATCAAAATAACTTGCTGATTTCTGTCAAGCTTCAAACATGATTAGTGAATGTGCTAATGCAACGGTTGTCCCTGAACAAGGTATGCAGGATGACCAGGATCCTGGGGCCACTGGACCCACTCGACCTCGGGCCACTGTATTATTCGCTTCTGGTAAATAACTTTGGTAAAAAAATTTTGGTCTGCCCAAAAGGGACAAGCTGAAGTCTACCTGGATCAAAGGAAATCCCATCATAAGGGTTCAAACACAGCACTCTGGCTGAAAGCCAGCAGAGGGCTCCCAGAAAGCAGAGAGTATAATAGCTGCTATAATTTATGGTAACACTTATTTAAGCAATTAACTCTTATCTGAGTTTGCTAAAACTTCCTGAAATTGTTCACTTGTTCTATGAGAAGTCTTACATCCTATGATATAATTCCACTCTCCAGGGTCCCTTTTTGCAGAACTTCAAAAAAAAAGAAATCTTTAGTCATCTTGCAATGTACTTGAATGTGCTTCCTTATTCAATGCAATAGGCTTTTTTCAAAGTTTGAGATTTTTTCATGTTTTCCAGCAAGATGTAGACACCACACTGCCTAAATTTAATTTGAGAGAGAGAGTTTGCTATCTGTTTTTTTTTTTAATTTTCCAGAGCAATGCCCCAGCAAGCCTACATATTTGATTGTGAGCATCCAAGAAAGGGGAGATAAATTGTATTTGTTTTAGTAAACAGTAACATGCTCAGACATAAAATTAGGAATAAGAATGAAAGAAGTAAATTCATTTGAATACTGAGTTTCAGTTTTTCTTACCTGTATTAAACAGATGTTAGCCTCTAGAAAACATTAATCTGTATTGTATAATAACACTGTTTTGCGAAACGGTGAACTTCACCTTTGGTCATAATTGTGGTACCACATGCTTCAAATAATTTCCTCCAGGTACTTTTTTTGCACCACGCTCTGGTCCTCTTTTGTCTGCAGCTTTTACCATTTTGGTACTATCTTCTAGCAGTCACTTCAGCATGTGGCTACATGTTTGCACATGTTATGCTGCTTATTTAGTTATACTGTATAAATGCCTCCACTTAGCACAAATTGATTAAGTTTGACAATAATCTGAATATAGAGAATCAGATGTGGATAGGGAACCTCTCTGTGTATGTGTATTTGACATAGGTATATTTGATTTCAAGGTTTTAATTAACATCGTGAATGACCACATTATTCATTAGTGACAAAGCCATGAGATACACAGGTATTCCTGAACAAGTGCTAACACAACCTTTGTGAACTCCTGTCTCAAATGCGTCATTACTTCAGAAACTTGTTTAGCCATTCAGGAGGAAAAAAGTCTGCTCAAGTCAAGCAACCCTAGTGCATCCCAGGTAGGCCCCAGAAAGACCCGAAGTTAATGAACTTCTGAACAGGTAATAAACGTGAGGAAAAAAATCTTTTTGTTAAAGGCTACTTCTTAGCTGTCTGTGAAAAAAAACCCATTGGATTTAACTTTAATTCCTGGTGACCTTTGTATTGTGGCAGCTGTAGGTGAAATATTTCCAGACCAGTGAACACAGGCGGATGTGGCCAGGGAAGGTGAGTAGGGAGACTATGGTTAGAAGTGCTATTGTGCGCTGTTTAAAAAACCTTGAGACTTGAAATACTTGGTACTTCAGCTCACAGTGGTATTACATGGAGAACAGAGGTGATGCAGGCTGAAACGCACCTCTACTGAGAGTTACTGCACACCACGCAAGGCCTTTGTCCCAACTATTTTCCAATGCAAGATTGCTCCTGTCAGCCTGTCTCTTTTATCTAATCTGTCCAATCTACCTGTAGAGGGTAGGGCCTCTGCCCTCACTTTTCAGCCCAGAACTTTCCAGAACTGCAAACACTGGTGTCTCAACCCTTTTTTCCCTGTTGCACCCACTGTTGCAGACTCTACTGGTTTCAAAATATGCATGTAATCTTACACTAATAAACTCTTTCCATATAGCCTGTGCTAATCTTAACAATATGATGTCATCCAAACTCCACAGCATTTGTGAAAGGTGTTTTAATATTCCAGATCTTTTGATCTCATCTCATAAATTAATCCCTCCATCTCTTTAATTATTTTAATTGCTCTTCTTTAAATTCCATTCAGTGTAATTTTCTAACAGGAAGATTCCCAAAAATATCCCAGGCATGACCTAGTTAAGTAGCGTGCACAGGGTAGTCGTGCCGAAGAAGCGGAAGAGAGTCTGTTAGGTTCTTCCTCAGCAATGGACCCTTCAAGTCAAACTTTAAGAAATATTTCACACTGTTCTCTGAAATAATTCATTAGCCTTTTCAGCTTTTCAGTTGAAGTCCACTTCTAATCCATAAAATCCCCATCCATATAAAAAAGGACATGGTAAGACAACTCTTTTTTCCTGTAGCAAATTTAATTAAAAAGATGATGCTTCACCCCTCTTCAAGTGTCAGTTCAGAATGGTCAACCTTAAATAGCAAAATTAGTGCCAGGAAAAGGTTTGCATGACAAATTGGTGTTCTTTTTTTTTTTTTTCCCTTTAAACCCAGCAAAGCTTCTCATGTGTATGTAAGGGCATAATTTAGGCATCTGGCACATATGAACAAATACATAAGAAGGTAGTTAGGGTGACAACATCACTATTACCTTCTTCCAACTACTCCACAATGGAAAAATAATGTAATAGGCTGAACTGTACAAAAAGCATTGGTTAGTTCCTCGCTGCCATTGAAGTTTAAGATGGTAAAAACCAATCCATTAAATTGCTTTATGTAATGAGGTAACTGAAACAAATGCAGCTGCCACAAGCAAAGGTGAGAGATGTAAGAGATCATAAAATACAGGGATTTTCCTGGCTATCATGTGGCAGCTGCCTGTCTGAAAAAAAAACTGCAGAGATGAGAGAGAGCAGCAAGGAAGCATTGATTTTGGTTAAAAAAAAAAAACCAAACAAAAAAAACCAAAGAAAAACACCACCAAAAAAAAAAAAAACAACCCCAAAACAACCAATAACATGGCACTAAGAAAAAGCAGAAGTACAACAAATCCACCCAAACAGGATCATGCAATCCCTGCAACATCCAGGATCAGATCAAAGATGTTCATGGGAATCTGCAAAGCCCTGTATTTTAGGTAATTAACATAAAGAAAAAAAAAGGAGCTTCTCATCGATGGGCTGTGCAAATGCACACCGGATTATGAAAATGCAGATGTTTGTGCCACTTTTGGTGCACATCTCCAGTGAATGTGTTTGCTTTGCTCAGGATGCATGTGTGGAACTGTACTGCTCAAAACTAGTATTGTAAGCTTGCACTGAGAAACATTACTGCAACCTACAGAAATAATCATGGTAGCACATTGCACAGTGGTTACTTGTAATCCTCTTAAGTGTGGGATCACATGAAATCACTCATGCCATAGTATTGTGAAAATGTGATCTCAACCCTGCAAAGTAATTAAACAAACCAAGAGCTGGCAAAACGTGTAGCAACCGATGAAGTTAAACATCAGCCCTATCATTAACTACTTCTAGACGGTGCTTTTCTGGGTTTGTAACGACACGTGGCTTAAGTCACTCGTGGCTTCTGCGTGCTGCTTTACCGTTATCCCTTACACAAGATGAAAATGACTTCAAACAAAAGGCTTTGGAGATTCTCTGGTGATTCTCTGGTCCCTCTGCTGCCGCGGGAGCAGAGCACTCGCCCTGCCCAGCAAGGGCAGCGGGTGGCGAAGAGCAGCTCTGCGCCGAGGCCACCATTGTTGCGGGAAGCCGACCCGTGCCCTCAGCGCTGGGGCGGGATTCCACTCGGGGAGCGCGGGTGTGAGCTGACTCTTAAGGAACACTTGGGCTCTGCAGCGTGTTTTCCGGACGTACAGACCAGCCCCATGCCGGGGGCCTGAGGCGGGAGTTTGCTGCGCGGGTACTGACCACCGCATCCATCGAGGGGGGGGAGGGAAACCAAAGTACCGCAGCGGCGGCGCTCCCGACCCCACCGCACCAGACCAGCACCGAACAGCGGTACCAAACACCCAACAGCCCCCGCACGGCTCCAGCCTCACTTCATTTCCGTCACGCTGGACAGCGAGGCCGCCAACAGCCACTGCCCCTCCGCCCCCTGCCCCACCGCCCCCGCCGCCATTGCCCCGCCCCGCCGGCTGGGTCCCCGCCCCGCGCGGCGCGCGCCCACCCCCGTGCGGCGCCGCTGCAGCCCCCGCGCGCATATAGGCTCGTCCGCCGCACTGCCCGCGTTGCCGCCGCTGCCGCCTCCTCCAGGCATGGCACAGGGCTGTACCTCACTATGGCAGCAGCGCGGCACAGCACCCTGGACTTCCTGCTCGGCGCCACAGGTAACCGCCGCGGCCGCGGAGCAGAGAGAGCGGGCGGGGAGTGGGGGGGGGGCATGTCTCTTTTACCCCCCGGTCTCTCGGCGGTGTGTCCCACCTCGCCACCGCCGAGGAAGCGGCGTGGCTGCCTGCCCGCCCGCCAGGCCCCGCGCGGGCGCCCCCTCCCCTGGGCCTTACTCCGGCGCCGCTGCCCAGCTGTGTGCTCTGCGTGTCCCCTCAGTGTCCTCTTCCGCCAGCGGGCAGGTGCCCGCGGGGCTCCCAGAGGCCGCCATGCCGCCGCACCCGCCCTGGGCAGGCGTGCGGCCCGCTGCGGCCTCCTGCCCCGTGTCCGCCGTGCCGCAGCCCCTCGCTGGGGGCAGCCCGTCCTGGGGTCAGGCGGCCGTGCAGGTGCCCCCGCCCCGGCTGATAGCAGCGGCAGAGTCTTCAGGGCGGGCTTTTCTCCGCTGCGGCAGGGTGAGCGGGCTTGTGGCGATGCCGCGCTGTGGGCCCGCGGGGAGGGAGAGGGCCTGGCCGTTTTCGAGTGGCCGGGCCGGGGGTCCCCGAAAAGGCAGCCCGCCTTGGCTCGGCCCTCCGAGTAGTGCAGCCCTGGCAGCGCCCTTCAGGAACGGGCGTTGAAATGGGCCGGTGCATCCCGCAGAGGGAGGTGCGGGTGCAGCGCAAGAATGTCTGTCACTCGGGTGTTTCTCTAACCTCGTCGCACAAGCGTGAAGGAAGTGATCAGCGATGAGATTCGGCTTTGGATGAGACATCGGCTATTTCAGAGCTTTACTCCGTAGTTATCTGTAGGGGGCATGTTCGAGTCAGAAACGGAGGGAACGACGTTTCTCGACAGCCAAGATGGGTGAAAAGGTTCAAGGGGGGCGTGGGGTGAGGGGAATCCGCGATGGGAGCCAAAGGGGTAGGTGTGTGCCGAGCAAGGCCGCCAGCCGGGGCTGGCTTTCGCTGGGGCAGGCCCTTCCCTGACCCCGAGTGCGGCCAGGGGTCTGACCTTATGCATCGTCCTCCTTTCTCTTTATTTCCCTTTTTGAAGAGAGGGGGGTGGTTCATCACGTCTGCGGATAAAATCTGAATATGGCTTGCTTTAAGAGAGGGGTTTCTGACCCCCGGGGCTTTGCTGAGTGCTGTGCCCTGCCTGGTCTTTCTGCGTTTGCTTTTAGGAGAGCTAGAAACAAGAGAGGGGGAAGGTATTAGTGGAGTTGTTACCAACCAGCATGCTTTAGGATATTCTACTGTGTTTCATGGTGAAAGGCTTGCAGTTTCTATTTTTACAGTGAGATTTATTTTTTTTTAATAGCCACTGAAATGGTGACCTGATGGCGAACAAGGTAGCCCTTCCTTCTTCCTTGTACCTAATCTGTGACTCATCTAGCATGAACAGAATTGGAAAACTAAACCAGTCCAGAAGCAATTTTCATAGATACCATCCAGCCCCCCCTTTGCCCATTTAGTTCTCTGAATTATCATGGGTTCAAGGATTACTTCAGTAACTGGCTTCTGCAGAAGAGTCAGGATTGCCAGAGAAGAGAGTACATGTACTGAAAATAAGCTGCAGTTATGTTAGCTGCTCTATGGTATAAACCCTATGTCATTAATTACATAGAGACTGTGGCAATGATAATAAGTATTGTGCTTATTAAGTTTTCCCTTTCCCTTTCCTTCTGAAATGTTTTAAAATGTTTAGGCCTTTCTCCAGTCAAGGTGCATGTGCTAAGTGGGGCTGGGGAGATAGACCAACTGTAGAAGTCTTGCTGTGTAAGTCAAAGGAGGGAAAAAGTCTATTACCCTTAAGTTTGTTTTAGCACAGAAGACATCTCCAGTGGGATGTGAAGAAGTTTCTTCCACCCATGGCAGCTCTGAAGTTGACTTATACTTTACGTGTGGCATTTTGTCTTTTATGTAGTGCTTATTACCCAAAGAACATAAGGAATTGTCTATAGAGGGGAGAATTGGTGAATGTAGATTTGTAGATTGTGTAGAGGAGTTGAAGTTTAATGCTGCATTGCAGATCATCAACTAGTTGAGGTTTTTACTTTAAGCTACATGGACAATAAAATTTCTGAGTGGTCTGTAATGCCAAAAAATGGTACTGAGTAAAACGAGATGTGGTTTTGGACTTCGTGGTTTCTGAGGATAGCATGTTATCTTTATGTCTCAGCTGAAGCTGTTTGCATCTTTGTATTCTGGAGAATGCGGAATTTTTTAACTTCTTGGTAAATGAGCATTCCCTGTTTTTTAAGCATTACCAGTGTCCTCAGTTTTTTAAAAATACGTATTTTTGGTAGGTATTAATATAGTTGTTAAACTTACCAGCTTTTAGGAAGGTAAGACTTTAGTCTATGAAAGCAAGTTTGTTCAGTAGTTTGTGTTTCACTGCAGTGCATCTTGGAATAACTGTCTATGGTTATGATGTCTTTTTCTTTAGGAATCTGCTTATATGAAAGTTGTTGCAAATGATCGATGAAATAACTTGAATATAGTTCTCAGCATTCATGTTTAACACTGTAGCTATCCAATAGTCTCCTATTCTTGAAGGGAAGAAAGAATTCACTGTTACTGTCCAGTATCAAGATTGAACTTGACCATAAAGGATGGGATAGTGTTTCTGAGACGTTATTGTTATCTTGGGATCTGGTTTTTTCTTTATGTGCTCTGTTGTGTGTAGCTTGTCTTCATCCTCAGTCTTCCCATCTTCTCAAAGTAAAGGAGGGAGGCTGCCTTTGAGTGTCAGTGAGAGGACCTGAAAGACACAGCTCCGAGTTAGGAAGATGCATATATTTGTGCAGCATTAGCTAGCAACTGCTTGTGTTTCAGAGTGATGTAAATTCTGGTAGGTCATTCCCACTGGCTGACTTTGTGTATGCCATGTCCCTTCAATAGCAGCACAGTTTGTAGTAAAGCTGCACAGACTGCTGTGGTGACATTTTGGGGCTTGGGCTCAGATGAGTGAGATGGTGGAGCAGAGAGTATTGATTACCTGAGCTGAAACAGTTATTGAAGTTCTTACTGAACTCTTGTGTGAGTTAGCATGCAGTGAGAATGCTAGGGCTGTAGGGCAGGTAAGGCAGTGCTTGGGCTTTCGAGAAAAATAAGTGGATGTGTATGTGCACATACCCGTGTCTTCAAATGAATGCTTTTATAGACATATGAAACACAGGAGATGAAAGAGGGAATACCTTTTGTGGTCTGAACCTCTTTAGGCCCTCTGTCAGTGGCTTTGTTCCTGTCTGCAGGATCCGCTGCTCGATTCTGACACTGCATGTAGGGGAAATCTTGATGAGAAAATCAAGCCTGTCATCAGTAGGAATACATGTAAATAAAAAATGGCTACAGTGCTTGGGTCTAAATGTTGCTGGATGTAGATCATAAATAATTTTTTTTTTACTAATGTGTGAAAGAAAAATCTAGCTGGAATCATGTGTACTGGATTTGACTTGAAAAATTATAGTTTGATTAGTGTTTTGCTGCGTAACTACCCTTATTGGAAACAAACTTGATTTACAGATTTTGTTTTTCTTTTTCTTTTTCTTTTGGAGTCTTTTTCAAGTACTAACTGCTTTACAAGTTAATTAAAAGTACATAAAATGTCTTGGCTGAAGCATTCATTAAAGCATAAGAAAGTGTCATTAACTCTACTGTCAGTCCTGTATCTTTGACTTTTGGTCTAGCTTCAAGCAGACAAAGTGCTGTAAGATAAAGAAAAGTTTAAACCAATTCTAAATACTTGACAGTTTCGAAGATTATAAATGAAAAACTCATCAGAAAAACTTTGAGTGTTTGGCTGTTGCCTAATATACTAGAGATGCTAGGGCTTTGTTTTTAGGAGGCAAATTCTATTTCTGTGACTGGAGCTGGCTGCAGTTAGTAAAAACACATTAAGTATATTTGAATGTGTTGTGGGTGGAGTGGCATCTGAGCCTTGTAGCTCAATTTGACTGGTTCTATCAAGTACTGGATTGTCTGAAGTGCTGAAACATCTGATTACACTGATAACATGTGTTTGATATGCTTATCTCTTCTTTACTATATTGATTTATGGTATGTTACTGAAATTTGCTGACTCTGACTATGGTCTGTATGTGATGACCACATAAAGATTAAACAAGACTCAAGTAAATGTCTCTGGTATTACTCAAGTAAAGCTTGCAACTCTTATAAACCTTGACTAAAGGTGAGTTTGCAGCCACAGTTCAGGAGAGTGGGTCTGTTTTAATTGTGCTCTCAGCAGCCTCTGTGAGTGGTGTGGGCTCAGCCTATGCTCTTGGCTGGGCTCTTTTGAGCTGAGCCCTGCAGGTCTCCGCAGTCTAGTTCTGACAGGCCTGGCCCAGGAGCTAGCCTGCTGTGTGTCAGGGCACAAATGGGGCTTGTCAGGAGGAGTTAATACAGGAATTGATAGCTTTCAACTTTTAGCAGTAAGGGCTGCTGTGAACTCATTCCCTGCTTTGGTTGCTTTCCTGTTTTGAAGATTGAAATGCTTTATGAATGCAACTCTGAAAATATAATTATCTGGTTCTCCAGTGTGATGTCAGGTACTCTGTGACTGCTTGCTCAGACTTGAAGAAATTGCCACCTGCAAAGGGAAGGGTTAAGAATCTGGGAGATGTTTTCCACTAGAGTCTAGCTTGAGGCTGTGGACAAATTCCTGAAAGAAATAAATACTGCTTTTGACGCATCAGTATTTCCAAATTTGGGTGCACATCTCTGTGTCATTGCAATAGCAGAATCCTTGGAAGGAGAGAAGTACATATGACAAGTAGTAATCACTGCTGCTTAATAAACTTGAAGATAGTCAGGTACCAGGTGATGAAAGTGCACAGGAAGCTGGTGGTATTTGGGCACGCTGAAATTCTGTTACCAAGCACATTTTCTCTTTTACAGTTTTTTTTGTTTGTTTGTTTTGTGGTTTGTTTTTTTTTTTTTTTTTTTGGCTGGGAGAGCTACAGGTATTTCAAAAGGTGATAATGTTTAAAATTTGGACAGTCTTTATATGCTGTTTGGTGGACTTC